AACGCATTTCAGAATTTCGGTAAACATGTCGCGAGTTAGCACATCTACTGTAGCTCATGTGCTCAGTAGTAAGTTGACCTTAGGAGGAAATATGGAAGGCGCGTGCGCAAACCGCCTTGTGGCTTCTCGTCATGTGAATTCCTACAAAAATCTTTACCACTTGAATGAGCCGTAATTTGTCCTTGGCTGAATGCCCAGCTGACAGCCAGTGAAAATCAAGCCAGGCTTCCAAAAAAACCAAAACCCTAATTGCTTAGAAATGAAAGTACGGCGAAAAGTCCAAATTTCTCAATTTGAAAACGCTCGGTTAAACTGTCAATGTCAGGGTGGCCTTGGAAGCAGGCAGATCATCAGGAAGATCAGATTTACCTACTACATTCTCAACTTTTCAAGAGTAGGAACTGAGATCGGTGTATATTTAGGGTTATAAGTTGGTAGAATATGTGACATTTGTATGTTTCAGTCTGAACAACAGTGATCGGAATGCATTAGTGTTGCTATTAGACTAGGCGTGCCTTCAGTTCCGCTAAAAATTAACTATATTCCTGTACTACTTAATGCGCTATGGCATGCCACCTGTCGGCCGCATACCTTTCGAATACCCACCACCAATTAATGCAATATACATTTTCATATATATGCTGATATATGTGCGAGTTAGAAATAAAGAGACCGGTCAAGCACCGGAACTGTTTGTTTATCGTCCTGAAATTTTGATCTCGATCATCAGAAACGACAGCAACATCAGAAAGAGCGAGAGTTATTGGGGAAATTTTCCAGTCAGCGAAAAGAAATACGGCTCCGAAGGTGATTGCGCAGGGCTGTGTATGTCTGGACTTGACCAATACGTCGTTTGACTGATTTCCTATCTGCTTCTCTGCTCCAACCAATTATCAACAGTCTCTTTCTGCCTTACCCGTACACTAATCAAAATTAATGCAGTGGTATACTACCTCCCTTGATAGTAAAACTTCGAAATGTCTGTAGTCGACAACCAAAAATAAATGTTTGTGATCCAGGATGAGCTCAGTAATGATCCAGTAAGGTTCGGTCAAAGTGTGGCGGAACTGTTGTCAGTAAGTTTCATTTAACCGAAAATCCTCCCGAATCGACATACTGCTCTTCAATGTTATTCACAAAAGTATGTATAACACTTGACGAAAGCCTCAGTTAGGTACAGAAGCACATTTTTGTGTTGTTCGAATTCTAGAGCTTTTTAGTGGTGTCGTTAAGTTGGGGGTAGAAAATACGTTTTCCTAATCTGACTCATGTTTTGATGCTTTTCAAGATGCGTTAACACGGTCTAAGTAATAATCTGTCGTCTTCTGAGAGTTGTCTGATGGCCGCTCGATCGCTGAAGTGAGCAATCTCTTCAAAGAGAACATTTTCTCGGAGTTTTTATAGCTGATTTTCGCATCATGACAATTCGAGGTCGCATTTGGCCTGACAGACCCAGAAAAGGATCTGAGATTTAAGGAGGGAACTCTTGCCATATATACTCTGCTCATTTGGTTGTGTGCCAAATGATTCTTATTTGTTCACATTTCTGTAGCACTTCCGGGGCGGAAGAAACCTTTCCAAATACTGATGCTGTCAAAGCTGGGCTCCCCGAATTTTTTGCATCAAAATAAACCTCCTATTATGAAGAGGATATTGAAAACGTAGTTTCAAGGCGGGAAACAGTCAAATGTGACGATGGTAATTACACAGTCAACTGAAAAATAGAGCTCTTCAGGAGGCACTTTTCCCGTACATTATCGAATGGCGAAATAACCTACCACTACTCCTGCTCATTAAATGTTGGCTGAAATTCTGCAATGCTATTTCAATTGTGAGGCTTACTTAGGTGGGGTTGTAATACTGAGTATCGTGCGGTTTAATTCTATAATATTTCGGTGTCGCCAGGGTGTCGGCTTTTGAGTGCTTCTCCTTTTGATCTCTTTTGGTAATCGCACTTGGCAAAAAATGACTACTTTTTTAGCATGTATTTTTCACGTCGCTATTCGATGGTCTTACAAATTGAAATATATTTTATGAAAAACACGCCCGAAAATATACTTTCTTTTACTTGTTTGGTAGAAAATCATGTTGTTTTTGCATTTTATACTCGAAGAAAGAGTATTGTCTGGTTTTAAAAAAGTTTCTAACTATAAGGTTTTTTAAGATCTGCAATGTCCATTCATACAGCATCGTACCTGTACGTTTACCAATGCACCTCATGAAATGTACAACATAGTCTGCAGCTGTCGCAAAATTCTATGAACTCTAATTGGTATCTTACGCGAAATGCATGCACCTTGTAGAATGAAATCGTTACATGCTAATGCAACGGATGATCTGGCCCACAAATTATTCGGCAAATTGAAAATCTTTTCAAAATCTAAATATAGCGCTTTTCCGGGTATAAAATATGAAGACAACATGATTTTTTACCAAACGAGTAACAGAAGGCACAGTCTGTGCATGTTTTCTATAAAATATATTTGGATTTATGAGATGATCAAAAATCAATATGAAAGATGCCCACTAATTAAGTGGTCATTCTTTACCGAGTGCGGTTTCTAGAGGAGGTCGGAAGGAAGTGCCTTCAAGGGCCGACATCCTGGCGGGATCAAAATATTATAGGATTATGCCGCACGATACTCAGTGTTACAACCTCACCTAAGTAATCCTTTCTAATCTAAAACGCATTACAGAATTTCGACCAGCATTTCATGACATCGGTCACTCACTGTACTTCTATCTCCTCCATAATTCTGTCATAGCGGACATGTGAACTGAATTCAGAAAGCATGATAAAAAAACAGCTTTTGGTGCCACCAAGGGTCAGCTTTCGATTTAGTGCACTTCGAAGGGATTTGAATAAGGCCTATACTGAAATTTCACTTTTTCATAATTTGCCTTAACATCTTATGTAGAGTTCGTCCTTAATGAGATTAAGTGCAGAAGGCGTTGTCTCGTTAGAGCAGCCGCTCGTCGTAAGGCGATTTTCCCTCAAGTGATGCCCTGTCAGCAAACATACTCAAGAAACTAAGTGAATGTTAGCGTTGTGTGTTGTCAAAAACCGAAGTTGTGACAGTACTTCTGAGAGAAACAAACGATGAAAAAGTTCACTGAAGCACTTCTCTTAGCCCTACGCGATCGACAAGCCTGGAGAAATTGCTGTGAGATGGTGCATGCTCGATCCCTTGCGTCTCGCTGGCGCGCGTCCTGTAGGTTGAGGACCTTGAACTCGGGTACGGCGCAGTCTCATTATCGCTTAGTCGGCTCCAACTTCGACGTAAGTCTACCGCTGTAAGTCCTCTGTAAAGTACAGCCTGCTTCGATGTGCGCGTTTTGGGCGCTGAGAATGCACATAAAAGAGGCAGAGGCGACATTTTCAGGCAGTAAAACTCCAAAAATGACTTGCTGTGGAGGATATTGGAACGGGTATGTAGGGCAATTTCCTTTTGTCATTCCGAATTTTCCTTTTTTACCCAGTTGATTATTTCCCTGCCGATCTGCAAAAGACTTCACAGCACGTCCTACGAAAAGTCCATAGAATTTTGAGGATGATTTGATTTTCTCAAAATTACTGAAACTTAGCTGCAACTTAGTTAAACCGACGGTTTCCACACGGGTGTTTAATAAAACAATTATTATTGTCAGTATTATAAAAACCATTATTATTAATATACACCGAAATGCATTTCCAATCAGAGGTTACTTATTTCAATTCTAAATAACGATAGGCCAACAAAAACTTTCAGTTACTTTGGACGCGGAAGTTAGCTGGCCCTGCTTATAAGGTGCACTCCAGTCCATGATAAAAATTGGAAAATCTATAATCAGATCGTATTTTAATAACTCCTATTTTACTACTTTAACTAATTAAGTAGGAAAAGTTACGTTTATTTAGAAGTAGATGCTCAGTGTGTCAATCCTGTGGGATAGAAATGTACACGTAGATGGACTGTGGGGCGAAATATGTTGAGGCAAGTTCCTGAATGTTCGAAAGGCAGTTATTTTGCGAACAAATGCTCAACAAAGGTTCTGTTATTGTAGTCGTTTTAGGTATTTTAGGTGCTTAGATATTTCAGTATTCGAAAACAGCATAATTTATTTGGAAAAATCGGCAAACTGAACAGTTCACCCAAATGCAAGCGAATTTGTTGAAACTTAATTGCGACATAAATTCGGCTTGAACCACTGGGAAATTTGGAACATAAGTCTAAGCAAGATTGTACATTCATCGATTATTGGAACTTGAGCGCGTATGTAGCCGTGACCATTTGTGCAGTTTATTTTAGTTAATCCCGCCGCAACCCAATCAGGCAGTTTTCTCTTTTATCTGAGTGCTTTCGTGACCCTGAATGATTTTTCCGAAAAAAAATGGCAAATGGCTCATTTTTGGATTGTTTTGTGCAAAAAATGTATCATTTAAACACTGTTAAATTTTCTGCTCAAAGACATCGTCGTGCAGAAATATTTGAAGTATTATTTTTACTATAACTGAGTCTCAAATATATGGATTTACTCCAGTTAGCGATTTATTTCTGGGAGGATCGGAAACCTGCAATTTCAAAACTGGAGTATCCACCGGAATGCACTCAAGGAACGCCGGTAGATCTATTGATGAGCCGAACCTCTCGCAGATGTGCCATGCAGCGGCAGAATATCGACAAAAAACGTGCCTGGGCTTTTAGCTAATACCTGTGCTCTCAAGTATGGTATACCGAGCAACTCACGCAGTCTGCCCAGTTGCGTTTGTTTGTGTGGAATGGCGGACTAGCGGACTGAATGTCAGGCTGTCACGGCTCCGTCCTAACTGGTCAGTGACAATCTCACGCATCTGGGGTGTGTGTGTGTGTGTGTTTTATGGGTAGTGTCCCACAGTCGACGGCTGTTTGGTTAGTCCGCCTTGAAGGGTGACGGTCCAGGCTAATGCAGAGCCACATGCCACCCTTCTGGGCCTAAAGGTCTGCAAGCGTCTTCTATGCCAGGACCAGCAAACCACGGCCCCTGCAGCCTGGTATGCAGTGGTACTTCGTTAGTACCTGGTTCCCTGCAGGTAGATGAACTCGCGCTCCCCCTGAGTATACAGGCCGTGAGCATGGCTGCACAGTCATTATCATCCTCTAACCCGTTGTGGCGATGTTGTTGTTGGTTAATATCCTGCTCATTCGCTGTGTAGACCAAGGGGTGCGGAATGGGGCGCCACCCACCTGCGCCCTCCCCCGCCTCCGGTCTTATTGACTCTGTCTTAACACGGGGCACATGTGGGGGGGAGGAGAGAGTGCGGTAGGTGCTGTGCAAGTCTACGCTCACCATAAACTTATCCACGTTCAGATCACCGTGTCTGCTTCACCTTGCTGTGGAGCGCACGGTGGACATCGTCGGATTCGACTGTCGAGCTGTCATCACCGTACAACTCATGTACATTTAGGAATACAAGCCCGTTCCTAAAGATTTTCGACACATTTAACTATTTGTGAACTATTTGAGGCCTCGGTAGGATTCGAACCCACGGCATCATGAGCAGGTCTTAAGTATAGGCAACGGTCTAACCATCGACCGGGAGGTGTGAATTTAATCACCTTTGGGTCAAGTTACTCCCCAAGTATTCTGCAGCAGTAGGCTGATTGCCCAAGCTGGATTTCGTGAGCGATCAATCTGAAATCCGCCAGATGACAACCAAGCCCACTTAATTAATAACATACAATTTATTAACCTACAATACGGCCTATTCCTAGCAACATGAGCATTTATTGTTTAGACAGACAAATGGGGTTGTAAAACTGATCATCTTACAGCGTAATTCTATAACAATTCAGTTACTCCAGGATGCCGGCTTTCGAAGAAATTTTTTTCGGCTGCATGCAAAAACCATACTGTGTAAAAAGTGACGACTTAAGTAGCATGCACTCTTCTCATTGATGTCGGTGTCCCTAGAAATAAAATTATATTCCACGGAAGTCACAAATAAAAATGTTTACTCTTACACTCGTTCGGTAGAAAATGATCTTCTTCCAATTTTTTACTCAAAGAAACGATATAATTCGGTTTTCGAAGATCTTTCCAATTCCCGAATAATTTGGAGCCCGACTTGACTTAACACTTGCATACATGGTTTCCAAACTACAAGCCATATATTCTCCGCGTACAGAAAACCATAAATTTCTATCCCGTATTAAGGCGAGACTACATGGGGCTTATAAGATTTAGCAGTAGATTTGAGCCATATTATTAACTTTATAAGTCACACGGGTAAATGCAGAGACGTGACATTTTATGAACGGTTTTTTCACGGTATCAGATAACCTCACAATTGTAAACTTCTTTAAAAACAAGTTTTACCCTTCCCTGGAGTATGAAATTGTGAAAAGACGTCATTTTCTACCAGATGGATAAAAGAATGAATATTTTTATTCATGTTTTCCATGAAATATAATTGAATATTGAAGAGCACCGAAAATCAATGGGAAAAATACATGATAAATAAGTAGCCATTTTTTACATCGTATGCTTTTTGCATGCACCCGGAACGAAGTTCCTTTGAAAGCCGGCATCCTTGGGTAACTGTGTTATTACAAAATTATGCTGTATGCTAAATAGTTTTACAACCTTACTTTATTATTCTTTTCGAAACGAAAACGCCTTTTGGAATTTCGGTTGCCATTTCATGAGTTAGCCCACCTATTGTACTATGTGACCTATTCCTCGCAACATGAGCATTTACTGCTTAAACAGACAAACGGAAAAGATGCGACGCATGAGAAAAGGGTTCGGTTTGTTTTCTGACATCGCTGAAAATATTTCATGTAGCCTTTGCATCAACAAATGAACTGCCGTTTTTTTCTTTTTTAGGTGTCCCTGCATATGCTGCGGAAGCTGTTGCGGTTGCTATGACCACAATTGGTGCGGTTGTGGTTGCGGAGGCTGCTGTGGATGCGGTGACTGTGGATGTGGTGGTTGTGGTGGCTGTGGAGGATGTGGTTGCGGCGGCTGTGGAGGATGTGGCTGTGGTGGCTGCGGTGGATGTGGTTGTGGTTGTGGCGGCTGTTGCTAGCTGGTGTACAGATTTGGTATCTCTTCTTCTCTTGTCCACTATAGTCTCCTTCGCGAAAGCCTGATATGCATCAGAAAATCAATAAAAGCCACCAAAAGCCTGCGTATCCATTCTCTCTTTTTCTTTTGGACGTGCTACGGATCAGGCGAATTTTAATAGATCCTTTTATGGAATCTCCATTAGGAAAAATACAGCGGTTTCCACTTGAACAAGGCATTTTTAACGGGAAAAGTCCTTAGTTTCCGCGTTCGGAGTTAGTAGTGTCTGCTCCACAATAGACATCATCCGATTATTCTGGGGAATCCCCGCTGACAGACTGCAAAATTTGTCGCGCACGGTAGCTCTCCATGAAATTTCTAAGTTCGTTTCATTTAAGTTTAACGGATTATCGAAAGAAGAAAAAATATGCCTTAAAGTAGCATTATGCTCATTCTTCTGCGTCCGAAGTCTCTGACAGAGTATATGGTTGACAAATGCGAATAATTCAAGCCTTCGTTACCGAACTTCAGCCGAATGCAGCCCCTTTAACGCTCTCAGGCATTGGTGGTAAAGGGCTTATAAGTGGCAGAAAATGGTCACTTTGAATAATTTTGAGGGTCGATATTTGGGATACTGGATGAGGTGGGTAGAATCCGTCGACACCGTTGCTCAATGAGCTGCGACCGCTTCAAACTGTCCGTGACAGTGTATAACCATCAATAGTAGTGAAAATGCGTTTCACCGGTGGCATATCAAAAGAAAAGGGGGCGTTCACCGCGAGAGGTGTGGACCAGGCATCAAACAAAGGGCGCCATAAAAGGAAAGCTGAGTGTTTGACTGCTCAGTCTCTGAAGATGAGTAGAAGAAACGACTACCCGAAACGTCAGACCTCAAATACACCTCTCCCAGTGAGTGTAAAACCACCTAAGGAAATGCACTCATCCAAATAAAAAGGGGAACCTTCCTCTTGGTAACTTCCAGAATATGGCAGGGTAGTAGGAACCGATCATGAGCCGTATTCCTATACCATGCCTACTTACTTGATCTAGGCAGTCTGGTTAAAGTCAAAAATAGTCGCAGAGGCCCACTGACCTTAACAGTGCCTTTCAAGAAGGTATGTATCGAGTTTTAAGTTAATTAAGTAGTAGAAATGGTAGGGAACGTAATAGGAATCCCTTTAACACAGGTGAACTCACGCTAAATTTTAGGGGGATTACGACTAGGGTTAGGGTTAGGTTTTGGGTTAGAGTTAAAGATGAGATTGCGTCAAGGTTAGGGGTAGGGTTGGGGTTAGGGTGGCGGTTGGTTTAGGGGTTAGCTTGGGGTAAATGCTTCGGCTAGGGTTAATGTTGTGACACCGGAATAGAGATCCTTCCTAGGAGGTAGCGGAAGGCCACTTGTGCCACGGAGAGTGTTCCAATGCCCGCGTCCTACCGTAAAAATAAAACATTTGCGCCGAACGTCTGTTTTAATGTAGTAGGCAAGCAACGACCAAAGCCCCGTAATGTTTCATCACATGACGCGTGTCAAGTTACTTAACTCAAATAAGTAGACACTGTACATGAATATAGTTCATTGAAGTTTCTACTCCTACAAGGTCATCTCGGAACTCGACGGTGTCAGAATACGATAAGTCGAAATCTGTTGTCGAGATCATCCCTATTTAGAGAAGTTATTAGCCATTAAATGAGGTCGATGTGAACTCGGTGCTTTTCCGTATAATTTTAAACTTAATTTGTCCAAAGCGTGCAACGATGAACACCACTGTACTGGATAGGCGGCAGCGAGTTGTCCGTAAGCTGAATAACTGTTACACGGACCCCTACTGCACAGATATTTTCTCGTTTCTGAAGCCAATCGTGTCTCACTGACATGGAAACATCACGATAATAAGATGCAGATGTCGAAATTGTGATTGGCCGATATTCGTCCTATTCTACACATGCCTCATGCATGTTAGTCTCTCGCTCCAATCGAACCGGACTTAATTATCATGGATGTCACAGTCATCATAGCTGCCGATAGGCGGTGGTCTTTCTAGAAGCAGCATTTTCTAATCAGAAAGCTGTTCCATGCATCGCAGTGAGATGACGGCGCGCAAGACCGTTTAATACTCGCTACTTCCCGTCTCACTGCCTGCAGCCGACACTTGTTGATGAGGCCATGGTCTCCCGCGCACCATAGAAATGTTTCACTCAGCTCCGGTTTGGTACAAGAATACCCCCTGTTTTGGAGCTAACGTCCCGTGGCAGCGCGAACTCCGTCTGCCATTCAGACATTCCTAGAACCCAGATGATCAGCACCATCACAGAATCGATGCTGGTGTACCGTTAACTGTCTCGTTCTGTCTAGTGGATTACCTTCATCTTCAGAACACCGTCGTTATCGAAAATGATTTCCAGTTGAACATGTTCAGTTAAAAGGCATTTAGATGGGACAATGTTTGCATGTGACAAATTTGGGCTCACTACGCCATCCCCAGTCAGTATCCAAAAGTACAGTACCGCATAGTGCCACAGAAAATTTGTGAAACATTCAAACTCAGAAGCATAACCCCGAGATTGAATCTCAGTTTGAGATTGAGGTGTAGAGAGAGAGAGAGAGAGGAAGTCGTTTTATTTTGAAATCGTAAGTTCAAAATTTTCAGCAAAAAATTGGCTCCATTCACTATGGGCAGTAAATAAGTTAATAGATAATTCAAGAGTCAAAGTTTAACACAAAGAAACGATTATTATGAGAATAGTTCTAGTCTTAGCTTCTGTATTTCTATCTCTTCGCATGTAAGATAGCGCGCTAGGAATGGCACTACAAAAGCTCGATAAGCCGATGTGCGACAGGATATAAGTCGGAAGCTGGGACGCATCGGGCGGGAAGACTTCGCAGACATGAGATCGGAATGTAAGGGATGGGCAACGTCATCTAAAATTCGACCAGCAAATTGCTTGACCGCATTGAAGTGTCGTTGTAAGATAGTGTCAACTAAAAAAAGATAAGAAACACCAGCAGAAGAAGGGAGCATGCGGAGGACTTGTTTCAAAATTAAAAGATCCTTTTTAGCAAAGCAGGAAAAATGACCGGAGAACAGTATAGGATAAGAGGAAGAATTCAGGCATCGATGAATCGCCAGACCAAGGGTTGAGGTGTGTGGTAGGAACGTAAACGACGGATGTAGTAAAGAAGTTTACGAACTTTAATAAATAAGGACTCAGTATGGAGGGAAAATGAAAAATTTGAGGACAAAGTAACGCCGAGGTACCTAAAAGAGGGTACTTCGTTAAGAAGAATGTCAGAGGATTCAGGATTAGGAGAGGGCCGCAGCCGTAAAGTGCACTGAACGGATTTTTGGTTGTTTATTAGGAGACCATTTTCCTCCGACCACGCCAGGACATGGTTTAGGCCATCCTTTAGAGACCGGAGGTTTGTCTGACTTTTGAGAGGGTGTCCAACAACCACATCATCAGCATACTTGACCAAAAGACAGTAATTAGGGGACCTTAGATCGTCAGTGTGGAGAGAGAGAAAAGGGGAGGGGATAGAATGGAACCTTGAAGAACACCGCAGTCATTGGGAAGGATCGAAGATTTCCGCTTGCCAGCTTGGACAAATGGAGTGCGGAAGGTAAAATAATCGGTAAGCCAAGAGACGACCCAGCCTGGAGAGCCGCACGCGGAGGTTTTGGTAAGGAGAAGAGGGCGCGGGACGGTATTGAAGGCGGAGGAGTAATCAAAAAAAGCGCACGCATACTCGCGGCAACCCTTGTCTAATGCTTTTAGAGCAGAGTGGACCACAAGAGCAACAGCATCTAAAGTACTGCGTTTGGCTTTATATGCAAAAAAAGGCTTTATGATATCTAGGGCAACTCTTTCAGCGAGCTTTAGTATTTCAGAGGGGCAGGCAACTGGACGAAAAGATTTAGGACCGAAGTTAGCGGGCTTTTTAGGGATGGGAGTGATTCTCACTGTACGCCAGGCGTCGGGAATCTTGGACTCCTTGAAAGACATATTGATTAAGTGCGTTAAAATAGGGGCTATCTGAGAACTGCAAGATTTAATAAGAAAAGGCGAGACACCATCCGGTCCGGCAGCTGTTGATCCACGGACCTTTTTAAGGTGTTTCTCTACTGTTGCCAAAGACACGGATTGGAATTTACACGGTGATAGTGGGATAGCATCTAAGGGAAGATGGCAGTCATTATGACTAAGTATAAAATTTTTATCTAGGGAGTCTAAATCAGCATCCACATGCACCAGTGTCTTGCGATGGCCAGTGAGACGCTTAAGATTCTTCCAAATCTCAACAGGGGGGGAAAGGGGGGGGAGGAAGAAGTGGAAAAAAGTTGGCTTACAAACAGGCTATTTAGTCTGTCAATCTCTGTTTTTATTAAGACGGTAACGTCCTTAAGGCTATCACGTAAGCCTTGCTTGTAAAGGAGTTCTTTTTTACGTCTTAACGATTTCAGATAGGGGAAGAAATTCTATCCGGTCGTGCCATTACAGTACCAAGATGGCAGCATATATCGAAAATTTCATTTAAAAACGCTGTCAGGTTGGAAGAACAGGATTCAACATTCGATTGTTCAAGGAAAGTGGGGATAGTAAGAGAAATGCAAGTCTGAAGCAGGAGAATGTTTTGGGCGGACGTGTTGCGAACCTTAACCTTTCTCTCAGCCTTGGCTAGCAGTGCACTTTTAGAAGTGGAATAGATTTTTGGAAGACCCAATAAAGTGGAATGGTCAGAACCTGACAATGAAGCTCTATTTTTAACGCAAAAAAGCTTGCTGTGGTTAGTCAGAATATGAGCAAGAGGGGCATCTGCGCGAGTAGTAAAGGAGACAAGATCATCTAAGCCTAAAAGTGTAAAGGGACATAAATTCACGCGATTAAAATCACCACATAAGAGAAAAAGATAGTCGCAGGATAATATAGCAAGTTTTTGTGAGAGAAAGTCGAAAAAACGGGTTAGTGCGCCTTCACAGGAAGAGGGGTGAATGTTAATACTAACAAATATGGTGCCTTTAAAAGTACTTAACAAATGGGGCTTACATAAAACAACGATGACATCTATCAAATCATCAGAGTAAGAAAA